GGGAGACCAAGAGACACCAGGCAGGCTCATGCAGCCAACTAGTGTGAGAGGCTGCCTCCTGGCACCGGGCAGGAGTCGTGGAGGGCTGGCCAGGCCCAGGGACCCGGGTGAAACAGCCACTGGCCAGTCTGGTGGGTGGGAGGAAAGGAGAGGAACCCAGGGAAGCTCCCTGGTTTGGGGCCTGAGCAGCTGGCTGGATGTTTGTGCCATTTCCGGAGGCTCTGAGGAGGCAGGTCTGAGAGAGGCCTGAGGTGAACGGCAAGTGTGAGGGCAGACGGGCCAGGAGAGATGGAGGAGATGGAGGCTGGGTGGGCTCAGGAGGAGTGGGAGTCGAGGTTGCAGGAGACACTAGCATTTCCACAATGTTTACAGCCTGGAGACTGGCATCTGGGAAGGAAACAGAAAGGAGACTGGGTGAAGGCCTGAGCTCCGGGCCTGCTGACATTTAAAAGCCCCTAAAGAGATGGCAGAGAGGCCAATGAGGTGAGGAGAAAACTTGGGCTGTGGGCGGTTTCAGGAGGAAGGGGTTCACAGCAGGGTCCCTGCTTGGTGAGAGGGAGGTTAAGACGAAGACAGGGGGCCACTCCCAGCTTTGCTGAGAGGGGACCCTGGGGACTAGGAAGGATCCATTTGCAGAAGATGCGGGAACAAAGGACGGACAGAGGAGAGAATCTGGGATAAGGTGGAGAGAAGTAAGTACCAGGATTTTGCCAGGCATGGGGCCAAAAGGAGATGGAGAAACAGGTATGTGCAGGTGGAGCCAAACACACACCGTCACAAATGGGAACAGAGGCTCAGCCAGCCATTCGCCCGCACTTGAGGTCAGACACACACAGGGACTGGCCAAGTGCCCTGCGACACAGACAGGGACCCAGTAACTGCATCTGTTAAACAATCACACAGTGGCGCAGTGGGACCCCCTACCTTGTGACGGGGAGCAGTAGGGACATGGGGAAAGGGCCTTAAGGCCAACGGGCAGCTTTTAGCAGTGTGTCTGCACTGAAAGGGGCATCTGCATGGCCTGGGCTATAGCTCAGACTGAGGCCTGTGGTCTAAGGTAAGGGGTGGCTATGCCCCTGGAGTTTCTGGAACGCTCTGTTTCCAGCTCTCCCCCATCCCAGCATAAGGAAGGAAAGGAGGAGGCAGCGAGGCATGGGAGAGGCATCTTCCCTGCAAGGGCCTGGCCTCTCCCACGATGGGTATCAGGGCTCCCCGGGGAGGGCTGTGCCTGGCAGTGGGCCCAAACTTGGGGAGGGGAGGACGGCAGAGATGCTAGAGGGAGCCCTGGCCACCTTCCCACCTCCTGAAGTGACCTGGGTCTCGGTGGCCTGGCCTGCTGGAGATCAGGGATCAGGGACTCTCAGAAGGGAAGTAGATTCCACAGCCCACATTTTGGGCCAGCCTAGGCCTCTATCCCAGCTCTTTCTGGCCACCAGTACCCAGGAGGTGAGCCCTGGCAGACCAGCCATGGCCCTGGGGAGGGGGAGGACTCTCAGAGAGCTGGGTCAATATTTGTTGATTGACTAATTAACTGAATCAGTGTGAATGCCCAACCTGCAGAGCACTGGGGTGTGTCGCATGGGGCGGAGCAGGGATTGAGTTACAGTGGAGAGGCGGGCGATGGGCAGAGCCTGGCCCCACGCCAGGCCCAGCACTGCCCACAGGCTGGGTGAAGGCGCCAGCAGTTTCCAGCAGGTAGGCCAGGCCTGGAGGGGGCTCCGGGACCCGGGTGAGGTGGGGCTGTTCTGAATCAGGGGTGTACAGCGTGGGGTCACTGGGCTCAGAGTGGCCGAGGGGCCAGCAGAACTGGGGAGGCACCGAGTAGCAGATGAGAACACTGGTGGGGGGAGGGAGGACACAGCCAGAGCAACCCTCAGGGCAGAAAGTGGCAGATTTTCTGTGGGGTGGGGGGTCGCCCATGTCCCGCAGAGTCCATACGCCTAGGGCCTGGGCCCTGCCCCCTCCTCCCACTCCAGCCGGCAGGGCCCCTCCCCCCTTCCTGGAAGTCGCCAAAGTGACCTCAGGGTCCGCCCCTTCACAGGTGCCTCAGGAGGAGGAAGTTGCCGGGAGAGAAAGGGGCACCAAAGGAGGGAAGGGGCCTTGGGTAGAGAGAGGGGGCACCTGGAGGAAAGGTGGGGCACCGAGGAGGGAAGGGGACATCTGGAGAAGAAAGGGAGCCCCTGGGGGGCTCAGGGGAGAGAAGAGGAGGCCAGGGAGAGAGGGTGCATTAGGGCAGGAAAGGGGTATGAGGGGGGCTCTCAGGGAAAGGAGGGGACGCTGGGGGACAGAAGGGGGTGTCTGGAGGAGGACGAGGGCATGGAGAGCGAGGAGGTAGAGTCAGGACACAGGGAGCTCCGGGGAGGGAGGACGCATGGGGGAGGGGGCACCCCGGGAAGGAGGGGTGCACCGGGAAAGAAGGGTATGTCAGAGGAGGAACTGGGCATCTGGGGAGATGGAGAGAGTGAGCCCCCAGGAAATAGAAGGGGGCTTCTGTAGGAGGCAAGGACACTGGGTGCGGGAGTCCCAGTCAGGGTGGGTGATGGAAGGGAGTTGCTCAGGTGGGAGAGACTGGTGGGTCAGAAGGGATGCTCTGGGGAGGGGAGGGACCTCCTGGGGGAAGGAGAGGGTGCTGGGGAGAGAGGGCCCCCACCCTTTGAGCATCCCTCTCCATCCCGCCAGAGCCTAGCTGGAAGCTGGTGAACACAGGTTATGTGGGGATGAGGCCTCGGGTCCTGGAGCCTGAGAGTTTGGCTCCCCAGGCTGGCCCTGGATATCAGGTCCCCCTCCCAGTGCCCTGGAGGTGATGGCTTCCCTGCCCAGTGAAACCAGCCCGGTCCCAACGTCCTGGCCACAGTCTGACTTCCCTGTCCCACATGGGGCCCTGGTGCCCACTGTGCTGAGACAGCCAGTCCTCTTGTCAGTTTTTCACACTTCCATGATCTACAGCGCACAGTCTATGCCTTTGGTCACTGCCTGCCTGTGCCCTGGTCATTATCACTGGTCACTGCTTCTGTCTGCCACCATTGAATGTCACGATGCCTGTCACTCGATTTCATCACATGTTTTCTGTTGCTTGAGCACCATCACGTGGTCACCGTGTCTGCCTGTCACTCGTGACACTGTCACAGCAATAGGCCATTACTGCAGCAGCACTTCTGAGTGCAGTAAACAAGAGGACAAGCCCCTGGCCCAGGGAATCCTCTGCTCTAGTGAGGAGACCAGGCCCATAGCACACGGGGTCTGCAGCACAGGTTCAGGGGGGCAGCTCTAGCCCCGGCAGGACCCCCCTCTGCCTGCCCTGCTCTGGGCAGCTCCCCCCACTCCCTCCCACCACACACACACACACACACACACACACACACGTCTGGCCACCTTGGTCCCCTTTGAGAGAGCTAGGTGCTTCCTATAGTGCACTGTGAGCTAACCAAGGCCTGTGTCTGGCCTGGAAGAAGGCGTAAGGATGCAGGCCAGTCACTGCCACCTGTCATGCTGTTGTTCTGATTCACTAAGTCTGTATCTCCCCTCCCACCTGTTTCCCCTCGTTGTACAGGATCAGCCAAGTCAAGGGTGTTCCTCCTGCTGATACGACAGGGCTGGAGTGGACTGGGGAGTGGGGTGGGGCAAGTGAACACCACATCAGGGCCACCAGGAGTGAGAAATTCAGAAAGAAGGGACCTCTGGGTCTGTTGAGCTAAGCAGCAGCAAGAAGGAAAAGTTGCAGCTGGCAGCAACTTAATTTAGCTGTCAAAAGAACTGCCAGGGGTGAAGGAATGACCAAACTTCACACAGAAGTTTCTGAAGGAGGGGTGCAGGGAAGCCTGGGGTAGTTGAGAGTCATCTGGTGACATGTAACAAAATTCAGAGCCCCCTCTTCTTCCCCAGATACCTCTCATTCCACGCTTCTTTCTCCTGTGAGCGCTCAGAACGATGGTTGGAGCGCAGCTAAATCGCTGTTTGCAGAGCTGGGGGCTGTTTTCTGAGTCTGTGTGCATTAAGCGTTCAGTTCTGTTTCAAGAACTTAAGAGTGTTTTGGCCTGATTTACCCAATCCGCTCATGTTAGCTAAGCCTGTCACTTGCTGCAGAGTCTCTCACCGTCTTCAGAGACAGTCCATGTGTGCAGAGTCCGCCCTGGGTTTGCAGAACCTCTATCTTCTCTGCAGAGCCTCTTTCTGTCCTGAGCCTGTTTTGAGAGTCTGTCTTTTTTCAGAACCTGGGGCTTTGTAAACAGTCTGTCCTTATTGCCCCATGGATAAGATATGCATTTATTGCAAAAGGTGCCCTACAGGCAAGCCTGTCCCTGTCTACCGAGCTTGTCCTGTGTCCTTGTCTGGGACACCTCTTTCTGCCTAAAGACAATGTCCCTGTTTACAAAGCTCTGTCTGTTTACAGTACCTGTCCCTGTCAGCAGAACCTGTTTCCTCTGCAGGAAGTATCTCTGTCTGTTGACCGTGTCCCTGTTCACAGAGTCTCTTCCTATTTCAGAGCCTGGTTCTGTCTGCAGAACCTGAACCCTATCTGTACAGCCTGTGACCTTTTTCGGGGCCTTTACACAGCTTATCTGAACATCCCTGGATAGAAACTGTCTGTCTGCAGGCTCTATTCATAGGAGGAGTTTCCCACCACCAGGGGACGCTGTGTCTGCCTGGGAGCACATCCCTTGTTGGCAGAGCCCTGTCTGCACAGTCTGTTCCTAATTCCATGTGTACTTGTTATCAGAACCTGTCCCTCTTCACAAAGACTTTATCTGTTTCTAGAACTCATCCTTTTCAGTAAAGACTGTCCTTGTTTGCAGAACCTGGGCTCTCTACAAAACCCTGTGTCAAGAGGTTGCGCACATCTGGGGCATCTGTGCCGCAACACAGAGCTGATTTCCCTGCCAGCTCACTTCAGCAAGTCCTGCCCTCTCTGAAGATGCTGTCACTGTTAACAGAGTCTGTCTGTTTGCAGAGCCTGTGTGAGCTCACAAAATCTCTCTCTATCTGCAAAGTCTCTATCGAAAGAGGCTTTGTCTGCAGAACCTGTGTCTTTTTGCAGAGCCCAGATCTCTCTGCAGAGCTCATGATTGCTTGCCCAGCCCATTCCCATCTCCCTGTATGCAGGGTTTGAGGCTGTTTCCCACGGCTGTCCCTGCATGCAGAGCCTGACCACACTCAGAGAGCTTTTGCCTGTTTCAGAGCCTGCCTCTGTCTGGGAAGCATTTCTCTGACTGACGATTCTGTGCCTGTCTGCAGAGCCTTGCCTTTCTCAATCTCTGTCCATATCTGCCGAGTCTGTCCCTCATGCAAAGTGTCCCTGTCTTAAGAGCTTGTCCTCATCTACATTTGCAGAGCCTTTCCCAGTTCTGCGAAGCTCCTCCACACCTGCAGAACCTGGGGCTGTTTCCAGAGCCCTTCTCAGCGTTCACAACCTTTGCTTGATGCCCAGCCTGTCTGAGTCCGAATTTCCCAGGGTGCAGTCCGTGTCTCTTTGTGGAGGTTTCCCCTACAAAGGTGGTCCCAGTTGACAGAACCCACCTTTGTCAGGAGACCTGTGCCTGTTGCATTGCTTCCTTCAGTCTGGGAAAGCTGTCCCTGTTTGCAGAGCCTGTGCTTGTGTGCAGAGCCTTTTCTGTTTACACAGCCTCTCCCTTTCTGCAGGCACAGTGCCTCTTTGCAAGGCCATTTCCCAGCTCTCTGGAAGACCTGTGCCTGTTTGCCTTGTATGCAGAGCCTCTCTCTCTGTGGGAGCCTGTCCCCATTCACAGTCTGTCCCTGCCTGCAGCATCTGTTGTTACTAGCAGAGCTTTGCCTGTCTGCATAACCTATCGCTGTCCACAGGGACTTCCCCTGACTGCAGACCCATGTCTGTCTGTACCGCCTGTTTCTAACTCCCTGTTTGCAGAGGTTGTCCGTAGACTCAAAGCCTGTTACTGTCCACAGAGCTCAGCCCTGTTTCAAGAGCACAGACACAGACGGCAAGCCAGATCCCAGTTTGCAAAGCTTCTGTGCCACCGTCTGTGGTACCTGTCCTGGTTTGCTGGCACTTGTGTTCCCATAGCCACCTGTGTGCCGAATGAAAGGCACAGTCTATGATGAAGGTGCTTTGGGGAGCTGTGGGTAGGGACAACTCTCGCTGGGAGTCCACAGTATGGGCAGCCACTGCCTAAGGCCTCTGGCTCTTGCTCCCTCCCTCTCCCCTGCCTGACCTAGGATGGACACCAACAAGGGCCTCCCAGCCATGGAGAGCCACAGGGACCTCCACATATGGATCATTGAGGTGAGTGGCAGGACCAGACAGAAGAGCAAGTGACAGAGTGTGCGAGGCTCTGAGACGAGGCTTCTCCCACCGGCAACTCAGAGCTCCCTCCCAACCCCACCCCAGAGGGTCATGGGGCAGGGTTAGGAAGAGGTGTCTCTCCCGCGATGGCACTAGGCACCCTTCTCTCCCAGAATCTGAAGATGGTGCCGGTCCCTGAACGGGCTTATAGGAACTTCTTCGAAGAACACTGCTACATCGTTCTGCACGTGAGCACTTGAGTCTGTCGGGGCGGAGCCGGTCCTGGTCCAGTTGAGGGGTGGATGGTGCAGACTAAGCTACTCCCTGGGGAGAGCCTGGCTAGGAGCCCGAGAATCGCATCCCAAGGTGGGGTGGGGCGCTGTTGCCCTTAAGGCCCCTTCACCCTTCCCTCCCCATTCTCCATCTCCGGCGGCGGGTGGAAGCCGTCTTCCCAAAGCCCTTGGTACATCCTCGACCTTGGTCTTCATCTCTGCCTGGGGCCCCACCCCAGCCCTGGGACCTCATCCCTCCACACACAGACACAAACACCTGGGCCCTAGGTCCCTCAGAGCCTGAAGGCCACACAGGGGGCCTCCAAAGACCTGCACTACTGGGTGGGCAAGGAGGCGAGCCGGGACGCGGAGGACGCGGCGGGCTCCTTCGTGCAGCACCTGCAGGAGGCGCTGGGTGGCGCCACCGTGCAGCACCGCGAGGCGCAGGGCCACGAGTCTGCGTGTTTTCTCAGCTACTTCAGCCCGGGAATCATGTGAGTGAGGGGCAGGGGCGGTGCGGTGGCCCACAGCCTGGGGCGAGTGTCTCCCTCGTCAGTGTGTGGGGTGGATTTTTTTGGGGGGGAGGAATAACTTATTAACATGCAAATCGTACCATACAACCTACCCATTTAAAGAATACAGTTCTGTGGTTTTTAGTATATTTAGACTTTTGCGACCATTACCACCATGGTAGAACATTTTCATCACCCCAAAAAAGAAGGCCCCTACCCTTCAGCAGCGCTCTCCACTTCCCCCAGTACTCCCTGCCCCCGTCTGTATAGATTTGCCTACTCTGGACACTTCATTTAAATGTAATTATGCACCATCACGTATAGATACACCACATTTTATTTATGTATTCATCACTTACTGGACATTTGAGTTGTTCCCCCTTTTTAGCTGTTCTGAGTAATACTGTTACTGACATTTGTATACAAGTTTTGGGGTTTTTTTTTCAGTTGTATTGATATATGTAACTGACATACAGCACTGTCTAAGTTTAAGGTTACAGCATAATGGTTTGACTTGCATATATTGTGAAATGATTACTGCCATAAGTTTACTCACTGTCCATTACTGTGTGCAAGTTTTTGTGTGGACATATGTTTTTCATTTTTCTTGGGTGTATACTCAGAAGTGGACACCAATGTTGCATTGTTTGCCTTTATGTTACTGTGCCCTGTAGAAATATGTCTTTTGCTGTCAGTTGCTTCAAATATTTGTTAAATTAATAGTTGCAATATATTCGGTTGAACCTAAGGAAATAGCCAGTATTCGATCATCTCTGTTGGACCTAATACACATACATAGCATATACATAAACACATGCACCCATGTATACCTGCACATGTATACCTGCAGAAAACACGCCACCCCATGTATGTCGGCCTACAGATGGGCACAACTACACACATCTGTGACTACTCATGTCCATGTAAACATACGTGCATTTGTGTGAATTCCAGGCACTCACATCTATACTCACACAGATAAACAGATACACATTATGCCCCACATGCATACATGTATACATGCATGAGTCCACGTACCTACACACAGATAAACCAATGCCCCACGTGCTTGTACACTACTTGTGCACATGTATCAGGCACGTGTGGGTCCCCACGTGCGCGCATGCGCATGCTCACATCTGAGCTCACCCCTGCACGTGGCAGCACGTGGTCTCACATGAGACCCCATGCTCTCCTCAGCTACAGGAAGGGAGGTCTGGCCTCTATCCTCAGTCACGTGGAGACCAACATGTACAACATCCAGCGACTGCTGCACATCAGAGGGAGGAAGCATGTGTCAGCCACTGAGGTGAGGGCTGCCAGGGATGCCCCTTGACCTTGGACTCAGTTGGATTGCACGTACTGGAGTATAGGGAAGTGTGGAGGGTGGCAGGGGACCAGGGAAACGTGGGCAGTCAGCATTCCCAGATGGCTGAGCCTGATGACGTGAGAAAAGGCAGAGCCAGGCTCCCAGCACCCCCTCGCCCCTGCCATGGCTCCTCTGAACCTCAGTTTCCTCTTCTGTCTCATGGGCACATTACGAACTAAGGAGGTGAGGCAGACAAGGTGGTGCACCTGGAGGGCCCTTGTCAACAGCACAGTGGGAAATAGCGTGATTTGGGGTGGGGTGCACAGCCCCACACCCTCATACACACTGTCATGGTCACCTATAGGCACACACAGTGTCTCCCACTGTTACCCTGGGGCCACGCAGTCCATAGAGTGCCCCTTCCTTCCATCTGTCAGAATACCAGTGTTCTTATGAGAACAAGAAATTTTACTGCCAGCTGGTGTGATGAACAATCAGGAGTTTGATGCCTGTGATGTGAAGGGTCCCACCTGAGTTGTGCATGTTACTGTCTACATGGTATGTGGCAGCTCTGTGACTCACAGACCTTCCTACCCAGGCTCACACTGTGTCACCCACTGATTCAGTGACCATACATCCCTGATCATGCAGGGCCAGCGTGCAGCCCCAGGTTTTGCCTGTTTTTCTGACATAATCATTTAGAGCCCCCACTTTTACTCTCAGAAGTGTCTCTGTTGGGATGATAATTGCCCTTATCCACAGATGACACACCGTCCCTCACACAGGCACACCTACACTGTCACCGGGAGCCCACACACTTGTTCACATTGGATGTACCCCCACTTGTGTCCACGAGTACATGTACAGACACATCCACGCCTGTGGATAAACTGATGCAAATGCCCCACTTGTATACACCTGTCCATCTGTCCACACGTGGACAGCTACAGACGTGCGTTGAGGGAGAAGTGTCATTCTCAGTCACAGACACCCTGTGAAATGCAGCATCACCTGCAGTCACACACACACAGAGATGCACCCAGCCCCCAGCCACATACACAGAGTGACCCTTGAGGTCTCACATGGTTACACGGATGCGTGCCTGCAAACCTTAAGAGCGGTGTCACACCCACACATACACCCAGCTGCACACAGCTTCACACACACAAGTGACACACATAAGCTGTGCTCACATAGGCAGGGACAGGTGTGGTGCCCCTCCACCTGGGGTGATGCCCTGTCTGCCTCCCTGTCCCCCTGGCTCTGGCAGGTGGAGCTCTCCTGGAACAGCTTTAATAAGGGAGACATCTTCCTGCTGGACCTGGGCAGGATGATGATCCAGTGGAATGGGCCGAAGACCAGCATTGCCGAGAAGTCACGGGTCAGTATGTGCCCGGGAACTAAGGGGTGCAGGGCGCAGGGAAAGGGGTGGTCCTCCAGGTGCCCATCCTCCAGCCACCCCAAGAGGGGGGCTTGGCTCTCTGCCTGAGAACCTGAGGAGCACCTGCTAGGTACAAGCGGAGTCAAGATCCTGTGGTGGTGGTACCATTGGATGCCAGGATAAGGGTATGCCTCCCCTTGCCCCGAACCTCTGGGAGCTAAGCAGTGACAGGAAGGATTGGGATTGGACTGTCTGAGAGGTGAGGGGGTGGAGTCTGCTGGGGATGCCCTGACCACCAGGACTTCTCCCACAGGGCCTGGCCCTGACCCGCAGCCTCCAAGACCAGGAGCGTGGTGGCCGTGCACAGATTGGCGTGGTGGATGATGAAGCTAAAGCCACTGACCTCATGCAGATCATGGAAGCTGTGCTGGGCTGCAGAGTGGGCAACCTGCATGCCACCACGCCCACCAGGAGTATTAACCAACTGCAGAAGCCCAGTGTCCACCTCTACCAGTGAGCAGACCTTGGGAGCGGGTGGGGTGAGTGGAATAGTCTGGGCCTGCATGTCCATCATTCCTGCAATAACACAGTGTCTCTAGGAAGCCCTCCAGAAAAAGCTCGTGAGTTTCTGGGGCAAGCCATGTGGGACCTCAACTCAAGGCTCCAGCCCCCATGCCTTCTGTCTCTGGGTGGAGGTGGGTAGCTAGAGTGGAGCCAGGCCAGGGACAGGCTGAGCTGCCCACATCTGGATGCCTGTCCCCTAGTGTCTATGAGAAGGGCAAGGACCTGGTGATCCAGGAGTTGGCGACCTGCCCACTGACCCAAGACCTACTGCAGAAGGAGGTAAGGCAGGCCCAGCCCCAGCCACCCCATCCATCCCCACCTACCCTACAATCCCAACCCCTCTACTGACCAGCCTCACTCTCGCTCCCAGGACTGCTACATCCTGGACCAAGGTGGTTTCAAGATCTACGTGTGGCAGGGACGCATGTCCAGCCTCCAGGAGAAAAAGGCTTCCTTCAGCCGGGCTCTGGTGAGTCTCAGAGGCACACAGCCCTGCCCTGGAGTTTGAAGGTGGAGGCCCTGGGGTCTAAGGGAGCAAAGGGCCCTACCCTGCAGCCTAAGCTGGGAGACATCCATGTCTTGGGGTCTGAAGGGAAAGATAATCTTGCCCTGGGGCCAGGTAGGGGATACATCCTGTCCTGGGAGTCCTGTCTGTTGGTGGAGGACATAACCCTGCCCTGGGGTCTAAGCCTGGAGACCCACTGCCCTGTCTGAGGGAGGAGACACAGCTCTGCCGGAGGGTCCAAGGGGGAACACCTGGCCCCTCTCTGGGGTACTGCTGGCCTGAGGCCTGCCCTTAGGGCTCTGACGGCGAAGACCAGTATCTGAGGAGCCTTCTGCACTGGCGCTCCCCCCTTTCCCAGGAGGGGTAGCAGGGCTCTGCCTGGGGTCTCTTGCGTGGGCATGGCCAGCCCTTCCTGAGGCCCAGACTAAGGGGACCCTGCCTGTCCTCAGGGACCTTGGAGAAGTCGGTAGTGCTGAAGCCAGCTCCTTAAGCTGGTCATGAGTTCCGTTAATTACCGCTGCTCAGGGCAAGGCTGGCCCCGCAGCTGGTCCCGCGGGTGGGTGGAGCCGAGCAGTGACCCTCAGGCTGCATGCCTGACAGAGCCCCCACCCCAGGGCTTCATCCAGGCCAAGGGCTACCCGAGCTACACCAACGTTGAGGTGGTGAACGACGGCACCGAGTCGGCTGCGTTCAAGCAGCTTTTCCAATCGTGGTCTGGGGAGCAGGGCAAGAACAAGAATCCGCGTGGGATAGGTGAGGGGGCGTGGCCGGAGGGCAGGGCGGAGCTCCAAACCGAGGCTTCCTGGGGGGCGGGGCCCGGGAACCTCTATGGGATGTGAGGGGGCGTGGCTGGAGGGGGCTTCCAGCGGGATGGGCGGGGCGGGGACACCTTTTGTCCCACCCTCAGGTAAATTGCTTCAGGTAAAGCTGGACGTGGGCAAGCTGCACAGCCAGCCTGAACTAGCGGCCCAGCTCCGGATGGTGGACGACGGCTCAGGGGAGGTGGAGGTGAGGGGCACTGGCTTGGCTTTGTCTTCAGGTAAACCGTTTGACTGCCACGGCTACCCGCTCACCACATACTCATGGCACAGAAGCACTCAGACACTTAATTGTGCCCTTTTGTCATATGTATATATCTATGACACAATCATACGTATGACAGTATAGACACACACTCACACCCTGTAATTGCACTTACAGCCGAGTGCATAATTACAAACACGTAACTGTACAAACTCTACCTTACACATGATCACAGCCCAACACACCCAACCCCCAGCACAGTCACACACAGCCACCTGTCTGGTCTCAGACCAGGGTTCTGGAAGATGCAGGGGTTGGGGGCCACTTCCAGGCTCTGTACAGGGCTGAGTTGCATGTTGACTTATTGGCTCACCCCTGAGCAGGGCCCTTAATTCCTTAGGGCCTCCATTTTTTTAATGCATAAAATGGGGGTAAAAGCTGTGGTGCCCTCAGCCCTGAGGCTGGTGTGGAATGCTGTTAAGATTATGGGAAAAGTACAGCTGGGCCTGTGTGAATGGTGCTCGTTCTCAGGGTGGGTCCAGGTCAGAGAAAATATTGTTTCTCCAAGGTTCCCTTCAACATTTGTCCTAATATGGATTGGTGGGGCGGTGAGTGGGAAGAGACTGAGACTGGAGGAGACAGGGTAAAGGGAGAGGAGGGGGAGCATGGAGAGAGGATGACAAGGAGGGGGAACAAGGGGAGGCAGAGGAGAGAGACTGAGAAAGATGGGAAGGAGGGAGGAGACAGGCTGGGGGAGGAGATGGATGCAGAGCAGGGAGAGATGAGGGCACAGGGAGAGGAGAAAGGGGATCAGGGAGAGATGGGGTGCCCAGGGAGACAGGGGGCCAACAGGGAGAGAGAGAAAAAGAGAAACAGGAAAGCAGAGAGAAGGGCAAGGGCAGAAGGAAGGAGGGCTCTGCAGCCCAGGCCCCAAGCACAAAGGTGGGGGGGGGGGAGGACATCCAGCAGACCGCGGGCAGACAGGGGGAGGGCGCAAGCCAGGAGGCCTAGCTGCCAGGTGAGTGTTGCTCCTGGAGGCTTTTGGTCGCAGTCAGCCTCTTCTGCAAAAGTCAGGATTCTGGGTGCTCTGGTCTTTTCCAAAGACTGCTGTCAGGCTCTGTGGGGGCACAGGATGTCCTGACATTGTTTCTTGCCAAGTCAAGGGAAGCATCATTACCCCCACTTTACAGGTGGGGCAACTGAAGCTGGGAAACATCTCACTGCCAGTGGGGGTGACCCTGGATTTAACTGGGATCTGCCTGGCTCCACAGCCCGTGCTCGGCTTCCCACACGAACAGGAAATCACACTGATAAGTGTGATGAAGTGTTTCCCTTTTAGTCTTTGAACAGGCTTTGCTTTTTCAAGTGACACTTGAAAAAAGGAAATTTTTCCAAGATCCCCAAGGCCTGGCTTCTGCCCGACTGCCCCTACCCTGGACTGAGCAGAGAGCAGCTGGGCAGGACCTGTCTGCACCTAACTCAGGCTGCAGCTGATGGGGTCAGACTGGAGTGGCATGTATGGCAGGGCTCAGGTCTGTCTTGGCAGCCTCTGGAGTCCTCATCACTTGTATGTCCCAGGTACCGCGTGCCGACTCAGAGTCCCAGCTGAGTTCAGGCTGGCGCGAGTGTGGTGGGTCGCTGGGGACCACGGGGGAGGCACAGAGCGTGGGGTGGGCACAGAGCTGGGGGCGAACCCCTTGCCTGCACAGACAGGGCAGGCCTCTGGGCTGCACAGAGCTTCCTGGCTGGATACAGGGTGGGTGGGCTGGTTCAGGCCGAGGCGCCATCTATGCCCATTGACTCCCTGCCCCCCAGGTGTGGTGCATCCAGGACTTATGCAGGCAGCCCGTGGACCCCAAGCATCGTGGACAGTTGTGTGCAGGCAGCTGCTACCTTGTCCTCTACACATACCGGAATATGGGCCACATCCAGTACCTCCTGTACCTGTGGCAGGTGTGCCGGCCTGAGGCGGGTGGCGGGCACCCTCAAGCCCCAGAGCTGAGGATCTGAGAGTGGGATATTGGAGCTGTGCCAGCCCCTCACCACCCCCACCCTCAGGGCCTCCAGGCCTCCGCACAGGAGATCAAGGCCCTGAGCAGCAATGCCGAGGAGCTCGACCTCCTGTACCATGGAGCCCTGGTGCACGAGCACGTGACCATGGGAAGCGAGCCCCCTCACTTCCTTGCCATCTTCCAGGGCCAGCTGGTGGTCTTCCAGGTAGGGCCCACTTTGCTGCTGTGGTCACAGCCTCTGCAGCTCCTCCATGGACCCATAGCCTTTACACACACGTACTGAGCTCCTTCTCTGCCGGCCAGGGACCAATCTTCTCACCCTCAGCTTCCTGGGGCTTGCTTGTCCTAGGCCCCAGAGTTCCAAGAGTGACCCCTGCCTGAGTTTCTTGCCCTGTCCCCAGAGTCAGCCAGAGAACAGAGGCACAGGGGAGGAAGCTGAATGGAAAGGGAAACAGCCATGCCTGGGGTCACATGCAGGCAAAGCTGCTCCCCGCTTTCTGCCTTCCGGGCCTGGGGCAACCATGCCCTGACCCCTGGGAGATGGAGGAGGGAGCCATGTAGAAAGTTCCCTATTCTAGAGATGGGAGCCTCCCATTCCACACTTAGAGTGTCCAGAAAACAAGAGGGGGTCTGGAGCCCAAGGGCGCTGTCCCCCTGGGAGAGGGAGGCAGTCCGGGAGCCCTTGGCTCAGCCTAAGGCCCAGCCCTCTTGTAGGGGAGCACTGCGCACAGTGGGAAGGAGCAGCTGACATCTGCCACCAGGCTCTTCCACATGCGAGGCACCGACAAGCACAACACCTGGACCGAGGAGGTGCCAGCCCGCGCCTCATCCCTCAACTCCAGCGACATCTTCCTGCTGGTCACCGCCGGCTTCTGCTACCTCTGGTTTGGGAAGGTACCCCAGCAGTGACCCCCTGATTCATGCCCAGGACAGTGGTGCCAGGCCAGGGAAGGGTCCCCTCCACAGGGGAGGCTAACTCCAAGTCCAGCCTCAGATAGGCCCAGAGGGAGGTGGGAGAGAGGCCACAGTGTCCCCTCTGGAACCTGGGGGAAGCTACAGAGTGACGGATGGACCTGGGCATCCATGGGTCAGAGCCAGTCTGGGCCCAGGTGGCCTCCTCTCCTTCCTGCCTCCTACAGGGACCACGTCCCTTCCCCAGTCTCTTGGGGGAAAGGAGGAGGCTTAGTCCAGATTGCCAGAGTTTTCTCTAATCTTCAGCATAAACCATGAACAATCTCCAAGCCTGAGATCCCCATCCTGTGCTCTGGACCTGGAGAGGGTCCCAGTCCCTGTGACCTGGTCAGCTGAGGAGACAGAAACCAGGAGGAGGAGAAAGGGAGGTCTTGCTCATGTTGCCCATCAAGCCTTGGCCTCCCGTGACTCAGGCCCAGCTCCCCACATGCCCCCGCTGGTGGAGGACATGGGGCTGGAGGGGAAGACCCCTCCCCCTGCAGGACCCGACCCAGCTCTTTGCCTGTAGGGCTGCAGCGGTGACCAGCGTGAGATGGCACGGACGGTGGTCACTGTCATCTCCAAGAAGAACAAGGAAATAGTGCTGGAGGGTCAGGAGCCTCCTCACTTCTGGGAGGCCCTGGGGGGCCGGGCGCCCTACCCCAGCAACAAGAGGTGACAAGGCTGGGAGGAGGGTGCTCTCCTGACCCAGAGGAGGAAACAGGCCCGAGAGGGTGGGTGACTAAGGATCACACAGAGAGCTGGAGAGGCCAGACTAGAACCGAGAACTTGGCTCCCTAACCCAGGAGCTCCCAGGGGCACAGCCTACTCTTCCCTCCTCAGTCCCCGCACCACCCTACCACCAACTTGGAGCAGGAAGATGCCGGGAGAGCAGGGCAGTGGCTCCCTCTGCTGGCAGAATGTGCTCCCTGCATGGTCCCTGTCCTGGACCATCCCATTGGCAGAGGGCCAAAGGGGAAAATGCCATTCCCCAACCCCACAGTCCCCAGGGGGAATGTCCCAGGGTATAGTGTAAAATGTCATATGGGTGAGCAGTGTGTGTGGAGTGTGAGAGAACAGTGTGCGTGGTGTGTAGATGGGTATGGGTGTGTTTGGGAGAGGAGGGCAGAGGGAGGCCTCACAGGGACAGGGAGCAGAGTGCGGGCCGCTCTGTGTCTCTGGGCCCTGACTGTGCCCTATACCCCCCCAAGTCTCCTGAGCTCCTGAGTGCTGCTGTCTTTCCCTCTCAGCCTAGTCCTTCCTCCCACCTTGGGCCTGACGCCTGGCTCCTGGGCTCCTGGCCAGGGGTGGGACCAGTGACTCCTCCCTCCACACTAAGCCAGCTGTCCCTTCCTTCCCTCCCTCCTGGAGAAATTCACGGGACAGCTTGGGCCACAGCAACCTGTGGCTGGACATGCTTTCCCCACGGACACATGGGGACCCAGAGGCCCAGAGAGGGGCTGGGCATTCCTGGAGGGGCTCGTGGGATGGGGGAACTCAGAGGCAGAGCCAGTGCCTCCAGCTCCAGGAGGGGATGTGTCCCAGCCCGGGGGAGAGGCCCCTGTGCTGAGGGCTGGCTTAGCCCGGCTGGTCTCTCTGTGCCGCTTACAGCCTGTGCCATGCTGGCCAGGCTCCCCGTGGATATGTCCGGCTTCCAGCCCCGACTGTTCGAGTGCTCCAGCCAGACAGGCCACCTGGTCCTCACGGAAGTGGTGTTCTTTAGCCAAGAGGACCTGGACAAGTATGATGTCATGTTACTGGACACCTGGCAGGAGGTGCGGCAGCCCCGGATGTGAATGGGGTGTATCTCTGCCTGTGTAACTGGGTGGGAGTGTGTGTGACTTTGTGTTTCTGGCCATGAGACTGTGTATGAGGCTGCAGATGAATGTGTGACTATCTATGACCCTACGACACTGAGTGACTATGTGACCATGGATAAGAGATAGAGGGTGCTCTATCCCAGAAAGGCAGTGGGAGAGTGTAGCTGTGTGTCTGGATCTCACGTGTGGTCATGACCAGTTTTATAGTTGGGTATAACTCCATGTACCTTGTGACGGTGTGTGGGGTGACTGTGTGCCTGTGGCTGACGTGTTAGGCTGTAGAGTGACTGTGTGTGTGTGTGTGTGTGTGTGTGGTGCCTCCGTGTGCCTGCATTTGATCTCTAGTTTGTTTCATCTCTGATCTTTATTATTTCCTCCCTCCTGCTGACTTTAGGTTTTGTTTGTTCTTTTTCTGATTCTTTCAGGTGGTAAAGTTTTTTTGAGATTTTTCTTGTTTCTTTAAGGAAGGCCTATATTGTTATGAACTTCCCTCTTAGGACTGCTTTTGCTGCATCCCATAGATTCTGTATGGTTGTATTTTCGTTGTCATTTGTCTCTCCATGTGACTGATTTGCCTTTGTGTATGTGGCTGTGAGTAATGGCTGTGTGGTCGAGTGACTGGCTGTCACCAACCATAACCAATGGCACTGTGTGAGAGGCTGTGTGCCTGGCTGCTGGTGTGGGTGCCCAGGTGGCTGTGTCACCATGTTTCTGTGTTGCTGGATGCAATGGTGTTTCAGGCTACCTGTGTTTTTCAGGCGGTGCTAACCGTGTGATCCAGTGCAGCTGTGTTTACGTGCGACTATGTGTGAATGTGGGTGACAGTGTGGGTGTGACTTGCTGTCTGGCTGGGTGGTGACTGATTATTGTGCATCTGTATAGCTGTGGTCGTGTATGTGTGTGTCTGTGTCACTGTGCCTGGGACTCTGTGTGAATGTGGTGAGGAGGCCTGCGGCTCCCATCTGACTCTGAGCACAACCAAAGCCCTTCCTCCAGCCCCGTCCCCCAGCCTCCACTTGCCCCTCCACTCCCCCCGCTCCAGCCACCATGGCCTCCTGGCCACTCCCCAGACATGCTGGCAGGCTCGGGCCTTTGCACTGATTGTTTCCTCCACTCAGAACACTCCCTTCTACCAAGATATACATGTGACTTGCTCCCCCACCTGCCTCAGATCTTGGCTCAAACGTCATCTTCTCAGTAAGGCTCTCCCTGACTCGAATTTAAAATGACAGTACTCCCACATGCACACCACACTCATCTGCTTTTCCTGCCGTATTTTTCTCCATCTGATATACTACATGTTTTACTTATTTTTGTGTCTCCCGCAGTAAAATGAAAGCTCTTCGAGGGCAGGGAGTTTGGTCTGTTTCTTTTTCATGGTTGACTCCCCTGGGCCTAGAGCAGTGCCTGGCACACAGTCGGTGCTCAGTGAATATTTGTGGATTGGTTGCACACAGGCGTGCCTGTGACCCTCTGGCGTGTTCATGGGTGTGTGGGTGTGCGGCTGGCCTGCTGGGCGGGTCTGGTTGGCTGGGATGTGTGTGGGGGCTTCTGAGACCACCTGAGGGACAGGGTGGGAAGGAAGTGGTCGGCTCCCCCCACCCAAGGCCAGGCCCCCTCTGTGGCCCAGATCTTCCTGTGGCTGGGGGAAGCTGTGAGCCAGCAGAAGCAGGAGGTGGTGGCCTGGGGCCAGGAGTACCTGAGGACCCACCCGGCAGGGAGGAGCCTGGCCACGCCCATCGTGCTGGTCAAGCAGGGCCATGAGCCTCCCACCTTCACAGGATGGTTCCTCACCTGGGACCCCTACAAATGGACCGTGAGTGAGGCTGGGAGCCCCCCACCCCCTCCCTAATCTGGGGAGAGGGGCCTGCCCTGTCCAGGGACCTCC